GCACCGATGTCGATAAATATGAATTATGCAGGGATAATGGCTCCCTGCTGAAAGTCGAAGCTCTTGTCAGTCACGGTGGGTCTAGTTTTGCTGGCAGGGCAACTGTCGAATGACGCCTTGGCGGTCAAGGAAAGAGGAAACGTATATTCGGTTCATTTCATCCGAGGATCCGCAAGCCATTCACTTCATATTTAATTTAAGTTCCAGTAGTAAGCAATTGTGCTTCTCCAGAGTAGATCTTTTCTTGAGCATGGACATCGTCCAAACGTATTTCCTTGTAACAGTGCTCTACGTTCCCTGGTTTCCTGTGGAATGAGAATTGATCACAGAATTAACAATACCACATGGGAAGCGTTTCTCAAGTAAGGTCGGTCTCCATACGTTTTCTTGAATTTTTCCTGTCCGCGACATGACATTCATTTCTGCCTGATACTTCGAAATCGTGCTCAACGATCGTGGCCACTGCGAGGCTTTCATTTAGTAACATGGTCATCTTGGGTTAAGAAAAACTCTCTGATGTTGATCTCACGAATGCCTATTAATTAACAATAAACGATTGTGTCCGAACTTAGGTAGTTTTATCCAGCGCCTCCTCCACTTCCTGATAATACCATAGCCCACAATGAGGGCAGCGGCGACCCCGGCTTTGAACGGCGAATGGTATGAACGCATCCCGAACTCTCACGAGACGTTTCGCGCTGACCTTTTCTGCTTCTGTCATAAGAGGAGTGGGGCCCCATCTTGCTATGAGGTTGCCTTCTGATTGGTTCTTGCTAGCGAGTACTCGTCTCAAGTTTGAAATCTTCCTAACTCGTAGTGAGTATTCGCCATGTGTAACAGGGCCTTAAGATTCACGCAAAGCTATTTTCAGCGAAGTGGCATAATGGATTCACGGAACTGCGTCTTCACGTTCAGAAGCGGAGCCGCGAGACTCTGCTGCCCATCATTAGACATCACTGCACCAGGGACGGAGATTGAGCCAGGGGAAAGGGTCAGTGTACAAACTAGCGGAACATAAAAAATGCCGATGGACCTGATTTGGTGGCGCTCAATTAATCATGCAAGACCATTCCCGGACTTCTTATCATGTCCATCTCTCCCCGAAATTAGCCTTGCGTGCCCCAAAACAAATGTAAATGCACTTGAGTAGAAATGGTTTCGTTCCTGAAAAAATGTCTCGATAAACCGGCTGTCCCCATAAACCGATGGCCCAATAAAACGGAATCCACTATTCTCATTTTTGGACCCCCACTCGACACTCCTCGCATGACAATCAACATCTGAAAATACGTAGGGACGCCTCGAAGACATGTCCCATTGGACATATCATTACGTACTCCATATGACTAGGTATAGTGAAAAATGCACACATGTGGGCGACACAAAGATACACGATACAAAAGACGACACCAAGCATGACAGAGCATTTTTCTGCGCCGTGACCCATCACTGAGTGCAGGCCCATCATTGGGTGTTTTACCCAATATTTAAATTAGTTTTAACTTGAACTTTCACCGTTTGACGATACTTCCAAATACTTTAATGGAGCGGTTTTTTTTTTGGACCGACCCGATATAATATAATTGAAAAAACTATGGAGACGCGGCTTGACGTGCGACATGTTCATCACACTTGCATCCTATTATGTTGCAGGAGGAAGAATACGATAACCTTTCAAGTTGGTATTCTTGGAACAATTGCACGATCGTTCAAACATGTCCAGCAGCCTTCAATGTGATGCGAAGCTGGCAGACACGCGAGAATTCGATGCCAAGGAGCGTGCAGTTAAAGTATATCTCGTCACAAGTCCAGTGCAGCTCTGTTGCAAGATACAAAGTTCAGATGGAAGCGTCCACCACTGGGCCCTAGTGTTCGAATTTTATGGAGCTCGCGTCATAAGGCTCGAAATTCATAAAAATAAGAATGGTCGCATCGAACCGCAAGTGAACGGGGATTGGCCAAGAGAAGGAATGAAATCATTCCTTGGGGAATTCATTACATCTCCAAAGGCGCTGATCGAGCAGGCGAAGGACAACGAACTGAACGGTGAAGTCTATGTGGTATCCAGGAGGAATTGCCAACACTGGGTAAAGAAGATGGCGGAGAAGTTCCCTGACCACATAAGGCAGGTATTGCACGATGTGAAGACTTTTGATGAAGCGAAGCCCATCTGTGCAACCCTGGCAAAATCCTCAATGATGCCATTGCAGAAAAGTTCTGCAGAAAACTAAAGTCTGATATTGAAATACTTATTACCGCCTTTTCGATTTAAGTCCCAGGAATTCAATTGACAATAAGGCAATTCTTTTCATCAAATTGGCCTTCTAGGTTGCACACCGGGATTCTCGATGGACAAGTTTATAGTATATATACGAGGGTAGTTTGACATTGAGTGATAATCTCAAGTACGCGTACGTCCACAGTGCTTCCTTACTGATATTCTCACTCATTGTCAAACTACCCTCGTACAAGGACAATATGGAAATGCTGCAAGTCAAGCCAATCAAAACTCACTTCGAAATAGCCTTTGAAATAAATTCTGAGCGCTTTTACTCTGTGGGCGAGGCCGCCGAATGGGATCGCGTGCTCTCCGTGTACGTAAGAAGGCCCTATTATATACGGACTGACTCCAATTAGATAAGTACCGGTGAGATTCGGAAGGACTAAGCTGTTCAGCAACAATAACAATGGATATATTGAATGTATACCACTCGTATAGTCTACAGGCACCAGGCAGGAGGGAAGTTGATAAGTCAAGGTCGACGGGAATAATTTACAGGTCCCTATACAATCCAGACATACAATACACACCGTTACACAATGTCACACGATCACATCCACACTGTCTGTGTCCACTCTCTAGTCTCGCCTCCACCCCAATTGTCCCGGTCCGGGGGAGGTCTCTTGGAGGTGGGAGGTGTCCGATAGGGGGTGGCTCCTCCTCCACTCCTCGGTGAGGTCCGCCGCTAAGCCCACAACTCGTTACAAAGTTTCACAAGGAGATTTTATGGGAGATTTTATATTTTCATCGGGACCGGTTGCCTCTTGAAGCTTCTCTGTTCTCATTCTCATTTTGTATCTTCCACTGCGATGTCATCCTCGAGAAACGAGCACCGATCTAATTTATTGCCCGAACGTCATCAGATTCACTCCTGCAAACAAACCCTCCTTATCGTTCTGTAACGGTTCGATGGAATGTTGAATCTGTTTATCTGTAGCATTTAAATCGTAAACTCAACGGCGCTCAATAGATGTCCTGTTGAACGAACCGTCGGATAACCCGAGGATTTCAACACTTTTTCGATCTATTCTAAACGGCCCTTCGGCTCTAGGAGGGAGTAAAAAGTGAGACGTACGCAATGTGCTCTCCGCCTCCACCCATTCCACCGCAGTTGTGTGCGGGTAATGCGGTCTGGTGCAGTTCGCTTCCGTAATCGAGCGGGAGAGACTGGGATATTAACGATGGAGCATGACTCTGACACGAAACCCTTCCTCGAAGGGTTGAAGAGGCAGTGAAATCCCTGGCTCTCGTAATTAGCAGAACTTAACTAAAGAATTCAAAATCGAAACACGAGAAACAAGAAATTGAGTTATCACCAGAGAGATATTTTTAGTAATGAAAACGTGTCAAAAGTGATAGGAAATATTTTAACGAGAACTAGATTCAGACTCAGCCTGCTCCAATTCAGTTCAGTATATAAACGTTCGATGGCATTTTGGCAACGCGTCTTGGATTTGAGAGGGTGAGGAATTTCCACAGATGCCAGGGCAATGTGGAAAAACGATATCCAATCTGAGGGCATCTTCCGCTAAGTTCCACTATGAAAAGTGACAATGATGCAATCTAGCAATTCCTGGAGGGATCCTGGAGCTTGGCTCATATTCTCTTGGTTTGTTTATTATTTTCTTTTTTTTTGGCACTACAATTGGACTGCATGTGGAATTTCAAGGCTTTCAGCAAAACTTGGCGAAGCAAAACAGACAGGAAAGCACACTGTCCATAAGGGTACGTCTGGTCGGTCTCCAGTTGTTGGCCAATGAGGCTTAAATCCAGCATAATTAGTTAATATGGCCGTTTTCAAGCCTTCTATCAACATCTTCCCGTACGAGGACCTATCATAAGTGTTTCCCGGTGTGCGCACAGGGTGTCCACTTCCTATGGGATTCGTATCAGTGTGGCCAAAAACTGGGGTGTTTACCCTATATGGGGAAATACTGAATCACCCTATCCATGACACCAGCGGCGTAGCGTCGTAGCTTTTCTTTTCGAGAAAAGAAGCCAAAAAAGTAGGAAAAGACAGAGAAATGCATGGTAACAACATCCCAGAGTTCCCCCCCCCCCCCCCACCCACTTTTTCCATCCACGCTACGCTTATGCATGACAGGCTAGTACTGGTTGTCTTGAAATTCGGTAACTCATCCTTCTATCTCGATTTTACGTTTGACTTGCCACCTCGTCCGTCAGGGTAGCAGGTAGGTCTAGCCTATTTTAGAGTGTGATCAGATTAGGTGCCAGCTTTAGCACAGCACACTGTAAATCAACCGGCTAGTATTGCTAGATTGCAATCCATGCAATCATTTTCAGAAGGAAACGCAAACATCAGCCCTTGGAGACCTTGATTAAATGGGAATGAAAAGTGCTGGAACCTCTGCTCCTTTACCGTTCGGCTATGAAAACGACGACAGACACTCACGGAAGAAGCAGCAAAAGGAAGAGCGGAAGGGAAGACTTCCTCGATGCTGTCGACCGCCAACTGATAGGATGCAACCTGTGGCTCCTCGTACGAATCCCGACCGAACGAGGAGGGTGTGACGACTGACGCGCAGACGTGCTAAGCGTCCTGTCTCAAGGACGAGGGGGTGGTGGAATCAGGCGTAACATTCCTACTTTTTTGAACTTGTGATCCCGAATGAAAAAGGGGTGTTTTGGTGCTGCGGAATACCACATGTAATGACTGACAAGTGAAAGACAGCAAAACGAACTTGCAATTGCACAAATCCCACATAAATAATATTTTCTCACTCTGGACCTGTTGATATCATCAAGAAAAACAGGAAGCATACTCCGCATCAGAGAATGCCTACGGGAAGGTGGAAAAGCAGTCAGGGATGGGAGGTTGGGACTTCCAGATGGCCCGACCCGCATCGTAGACCACCGCCCCACTCGCAACGGCCTCCAGGGCTCTGGGGTAGACCACGTGCTCGGCACCCTTCACGCGCTCTTGCAGAGACTCCAATGTGTCCCGTGGGAAGACGGGGACGGGGTGCTGGAGGATCACTGCCCCTGCATCCACCTCCACCTGCAATCAGTCGCACGATCTCATCTGCTAATAAATAGATTCAACATTTGGATCACAGCCAGATGCCAGATATGTATTTTTTTTCAGCCAGAAAAAAGTTATTATTATATTATTATGGGAGGCAGGGGTCCAAAAGGACTTTCACTGCATACTCTTTCATTTAAAATGATAAGCTCCTCAAACACTGCATCCAAATCCCTTCCAATTTCTGAAGCAACAATGCAACTTCGCAGCCACATCTCATTAAGGGAAGGGATGATGTGAGCAGAAGTTGCAGTATACCACCAACCTAGGAAACAAAAACGCATGTTCCGGGGAAGCATTCTCCTTCCATTGGGGAAGAATGCATATGCATAAAAAAAAATTAAGAAGCAGATATCAAAACAAGGAGGTACAAGGAGAATTCATGATTCTATTCTTTTCTGCAAGATGTTATATTGCACATAGTACTGGCCCTTTCAACAAGCATATCAAAATTCTTGTAATGCTAGCATGCGCTCCTGAGAGAACTACGAGGTATCGTAGTTCTCTCAGTAGGCATCTTAGTCATCATAATCCTACCGGTACATCATTACCATTTGCCACGTACAATAGGTCAATAAATTTCTGAAACTGGGCAGATCCTTACAGCTTCATTAGAAATAATTTTTAAAAATTGTCAGTGCTGAGTTATTTCAATGGAAGCACTAACACGTGTTACCAATTCCTTCTCATAGCCGTCTAAATTGTAAAATAGGATTTAATTTCGACCAAAAATTTTTGGTATATAATTGGTAAATAATGCTTTTTTCGGGCAGGTTCTTTGCACGATGCATACTTGTCCCCGTTAATGACAGGATTAAATCTAGATGCAATATGAATAAGAAAATTCCTGAGGAGTTGTACTTTTGCTGGGGGAAAAAAATAAAGCAACCAGGAGTGAGGACATGGGGAGGTAAGGGGGGGGGGGGCTAATTAGCAAAAAGGGAAAAGTGGCAACTCCAAGTTGTCCGTTTTTTTTAAAGCGAAAACATACATTTCTCCGGCAAGAAATCGTCAGGCAAGAATGACTGGAGAGATGAAAACAAAGAAGACTCCCATCCTATTACTAAGGGGAATACTATTGCTTAAAAATGAAAAACTACCCTAATTTCACTTCTGTTTGACGTCCACGATTGACATCCATCTGCAGGTGACCCTCCGCACGTGAAAAACCGAAAATCCTTTCCGTCCGTTCCATGTCTCGCGGTTGCCATTTAAATGCCATGGGTGAGAGAGAGACTGACCTCAACAAAGTGAACAGTGCATCCAGAGATGCGGACCCCAGCCTCCAGCACCAGCCGGTGAGCATCGTGACCCTTGAAAGCCGGCAGCAGCGACGGGTGCGTGTTGAGGACGCGCCCCTTCCACAGCGCCACGAACTCCTTCGACAAGATCCTCATAAACCCGGCCAGGCAGACCAGGTCGATGCCTCGCTTCACCAGCTCCTCGTGGATCGCCAAGTCGAATGCCACTCGGGTCGGGTACTTTTTGTGGGACCTCACCTGAGTGAAGGAGGCGATAGGGAGTCATTGCCTAGCTACACGTGGATGACTTCCAATAACAAATACCCCTTTAGGAGTGCAGAGTTTGTCCGTATATGAGAAAATGTCAAGATTCCATCGAATAAACAATAAGCAGGATGCAACATCTACAATACTTTCACATGAAGCAATTTAAATATCCTACGGACATTCTAATGAAAGCAACAAATACGAGAGTGCCCTTGGCATGTTAGAACTTAACACTCTCTGGTCATAATTGTCATATTTGGACTTCGTGACTAACTGTACTTGAACGTGAAAGATATACAAGGTAATAAAGATTTGTATAGTTGCATACTCCAGTGGGAAGAGCGATCTAAAGTCAAATGCGGATGCTCACATCAAACACCCAACCAGTTTTCCAGAAGAGCAGGTTACAAATAGATGGATAACGACTAATAATTTTAAAAATCCATCCAACTGGCCTATTCACTTTAAAAGGGAAATCTCACTTAAATTCCCAAAAGGTAGGTTTTCAACAAATGTATCCATTGGTCAAGCTCCAAATCCCCACCAATGCATTAGTCTCCAAATTTCCAACTCACCTGGAAGTGAGTGCCTCCTTCAATATCTCTCTATTCTTGTTTTTTTTTTCTTCTGACATTTCGTCATGTACCTGACGAGTGTTTCATGCCATTATTCTTTCCATGACAAACCAGTACTCGTAACTCTGAAGTTCCATGAACCAACTTTTTCTTTAAATATCTAGTGAAATATTCATCAACAGAATGAAGATGCAAAGCTGCTCTGCTGCTCTCAGGCATGCAAAAGGGAATTTGATGAATGAGGAGACATACAAGCGTTTCAATGTTGGCTTCATTTGCCCTCTTCAGCCCAAGTGCATCAGGGTTATTGGATACCACCAGAACAATGTTGGCGTGCCGAATCACACCGCTCTGCACGGCATCAATGAGGGCCTGAAGAAGAAAATGCAATCTGATTTTTGCATATCCATAAAGAAAGCCTTTAATCAACACCAAAAACAAAACCAGCCTGGAGGCTGCTAAGCTACATCATGTAAACAACTTCCATGCATCTTGCTCCAGCAACTACTTCCTTGAGCTCATTGGTTCTCATTGTACCTTATGTCTCAATGTTAACTTTTGAGTCTTCTTGGTCCTACTGGAACAGGAAGGCACGCTGG